TTTTGTTGGGTTCTCGTGTTTGTCGGTGTTGCGACTGCGGTGCTTTGAGTTGTGTTCATTGTCGACAAGTTTGTGTTTACCGGTGTCGTGGTGATTGGAGTCGTCGTTTCGGGTGTTTGGGGTATGCTTGTAGCCATGTTCTGATGTTTGGTTGTTGTGTTGTGGCTTGCAGGAGTCATCGGCGGGATCGTCATTGCGTCACGTATTTTGGATGCGGTGGTATTGATCAGGTACGGTGTGGTCGTCATTGTTGCGCGAGTTGTTGCCGTCGTGCTTGGCACGAAGCGAGATGTGGATTGACTTTTGTTTTGCTGCGTATTGGTGATGCTCGTCCTCGATGTGTTACTTGCAGATGTGGGCGCGGTTGTATCTGGAGTTACCGTAATCGCGGATCTGTTTGTTGTGGGTGAACATTCGTTGCTATTTGCCACTGTAGTAGGTGTGGACATGTTTGTGGTTGTCGTGTTTTGAGGCAGGTTTGCCGTGGATGTTCCTGCTGTTGCAGGGCTTGTGGATTTGGTTGTGTTTTGACTTTCTGTCGTCATGATTGCGCTTGTTGTAGTCGTTGCGGATAGGTCCTTTTTTAACGGATTTTGGGTTGCAGTCATCAGAGGCATGGTTTTCATTGACTCGGGTGTTGCTGATATGGTTGTACTTGTATTTTGAGTTGCGCTAGTCATGGTTGTGTTTGTTTCTGTCATGGTGGTGGATGTAGTAGTGTTTTGCGGCGTAGTAATGGCGGTCATCAGAAATGTGTTAGTTGTTGCGGAAGTGGTCATGCTAATGGCTGAAGCTTCTGTAGTCACGGGTGCGTTTGTTTCTGTAGTGTTTGGCACTGTAGTAGCTGTCGATGTGGTTGTTGTGTTTTGGGGTGGAGCAGTCACGGACGTTACTGCTGAAATGGCAGCTCTTGATTTGGTTCTCAAATCCTTCTCCGTGGTGGTTGTTCCGTGTTGGTGGTCAGCTGTGATGTCGAGCACACTGCTCGTTGCTGTTGTGTTTGTTTGATTCGCAGGCGTGAGCCATTTCTCATCTTCTGTTGCCGCCACAGTACTGGTTCCTGGAGTCATGGTTGGCCAAGATGAATCGATAACTGCGGCAGTTTGAGACTGAATCAGTATAATGGCCCTGTGAACTGTACTTATACAGCAATACATGTTTAGCCAATCGTGGTGGAAATAAACTTTGCCCAACTGTCACCATAGTGAACCTTGACAGGCCTATTACGTAACAGCTTTCACAGTCATAGTTCAACGGTAAGCAACTCCTCTTTACACCTGAAAACGTTCCCCGCTTTCACCGTTGAATCGCCATCCAAAGCTGCTTGCTGCTGCCTTCAACAAATAAAATCAGCCATTTTTTAGGGTTTTTTTTAAGGGCAGTTGTAAGAGGTTTGCAAAGTGGTAAAGTGGCGTCTACGTTCTCATCAAATGAAATTGTGAGTGACTTGCTCATACTTTTAAATAACATCAATTTCATGATCATTTCAGGTGATGTTCAAAAATGAAATGTGCCCATTGCTCACAAACTGCACACAAGTGATGGATCATGATTCAGTTCAAGTGCAAGTGTTAGCCAAGAGATCAATTTTCACTACTATGTTCTACACCTCTGAGCAAGAAATTTGTCAAACCAAGACGTTAAAGCGAGTTACCTTGAAAAGATGCATACAAACAGCCGTGCAAATATATCCAAGAAAGGATTTTACTTTTCATCTTCATGGTGTCAACCGGGTTGAGTGTCTCCAGCCAGCATTGATGTTAAGTATTAGTCTCTCATTTCCAGGATGGTGTATTTGCATTTTGCTATTTCCCTGTTAATGCTCCACCCTCACCTATTGAGCAAGGAATATACAGAGGGCGGTACAGCCAAGCAAAATGGTGAAATATAAGATTCTTATTATACAGATGAGTTTCACTTTGGAATGACCTAACGGTACTAAAATATTTGAAGTTTCCCACAAGATTCTAATGCATTGGGATGCACCTGCATCATAAAATTATTCTGTCTCTCCATCCATTTTCTACAACTTTTCAATCAGGTGATGAAAACAGATGTGGAACCAGGTTATTTCCCCGCCAACAACTATAGTACACACGCACACACACACACCAGTTAGCATGATCAAACTGGACTGGAGAGAGGGGCGGGGGACTTGCAATGTCCAGACAATGGAGCCTTTTCAATGGATATTAGCCAGTTGGTGTTGGTGTCAGGTGGCTACTAATAAGCAGACAATGAACAGAATTTAAACAACAAAAGAACAAATTCACTTTAAGACTGCCAAACAGGTTTTGAGCATATGTGTGGTTCCACTCAGCTCCTTCTCAAGTTTTCACGTTGTGAGTTGATAAACTTGAGTTTTCATAGGCATGCAATTTCCTTCGTGCAAGATGTGTTTCTTTAAATGTTGTGAATACAGTATACAGTACAGGTTTGTGGGATTGGCTATATATTTTTGGCTTCTGTTTTCTCGTGTTTCTGAAAATACGATAATGTATTTGTTTACTTTATAAAGAAAGTAGTATGATTGTTTTATCTACAACAGCCTAGGGCCTGACTATGTTACCAATAATAATATGCTATTATTATTGGTAACATAATAAAATAATGGATATTAATAATATCCATTATTTTATTCACGGTAGACACTGTCAGAGCCTAAATGAGGTTCCTCGTGGTGATTTGTTTGAAACGACCATTTATTGTGTAACACCGTGTGCGCATGCTCAGTCCCATGGCTGCGTGTGGCTCCGTTGACATTTAAGCAGAGAACACTCATCGTAGTAGTACGTTGGGGAGAAAAAAAAGCGTTTCATTCGGGATAAATCATAATCTTGTATGAACCGTTTATTATCGAACTGCTGTTTTTTTTCCCGTTTTTTGTTTTCGAAAATAGTGAACGAAGGCGTAATCCGTCGTTCGGTTTCATTTGCTTGCAAGTTTGCAATGCTAGTAATCGTGCTAGTTTGATATATTGCTCAGACCAAATCGGTTCGATCGTTAGCTTCCTTCAATGCCCTTCCACAATCCTGTTTGTCTGGCAACGATTGTGGTTACCTTATGTATTTATTTTCCCGAGAGAAATAATGTAAGCCCGTCTTCTGCGCATAATGGACAGAGACTTGTTGAGGCAGTGTCTGACGTATCACGGAGAGTCCTTGTTCAGCACATTGAAATGTGAACAGACTGAGAATCCCGACTTTCAAGCCGTGGTGGCTGACCTGTGTAAGGCTCCGTATGAGGGGTAAGCCTTCCTTCCTTCGTCATCTCCAAACCTTAGCACGATCTTGTTTGAAATGTTGCCCACTCGGCATCCATTGCAGCCTGGTCATGCTGGAAGGGGCATTCTCCCATCTGCGGCCCCTTCTCAAGGTTTCTAATTTTTTTTGCCACAAGATGGCAGCAAAGCACTTTTATTTTGTCAGGCAAGGCTGTGGTGTGACTTTTCAGCTTCAACTCTGAAATGACATCATACATTTGTGCGCCTTGACAGAAATGGCGAAGAGCAGAGCAGCCCCCTTGTGGAGCAGTTCATTGCTCGGAAGGCTGACATTCTTTTCAGTCCATCGTGGAAGACTGCAACTCCGAAAGAAGAAGAAGAACCCCGACAGGAGGAAGCCGCAGGTTGTCCACGCTTAACGCTTTGTCCGGATCCAGCCAATGAAATCCCTGCATTCGAACCTTATTTTTATTCATCTTAAAATGGGACGGTAACTTGATGCATGAAATGGCCGACTTTTTTTTTTACCTTTGTTAAATTGCCGCGATGAGCTTGGTTAAAATAAATCCAAAGAATTATTCGTTATTATCAGGCGTACGATGGCGACCCTCTAAAATTCAACAAATCTTTTGTGCGAGGCTTATTGTCTTCCAAATGAACCCAGAGGAAATGATCTCAAGTGAATTGAAGACACCTGATGGAGTTGAAGTTTTCGGTGTTGCAAAGACGTTTGCGAGCATTTCAGGTCATTTTTGATGCCAGCACTTGCCACAACCGTTGTCCTTTTGGCTCTATGCTAATAGCATAAGCATCTTCTTACTGTAGTTGTGTCTACAACTGCTATTAAATTCAATTTATTGCTTGTATTGTGCTGAGCAGCCAGATACAACTCCAGAGTTTTTAAATAATTTTTTATTATTCATTTTAAATCTGGGCAGAGCTTAGCCCGAGTGACAGTTTGATGTCATTATTCGCTCAGACCTAAAAACTCATCTAAGTGATTGTAATGCTCGTAATGTTCTTTCCAGAGGCTTATGCTGTCATGCCCCCCCTGGAGTTATTCATGGAGGTGCCTTTTGAAGAGAGAAGGACCATGCTTTACCGGGATTTAGAACGAGGAGACATCGTGGTGGGGAGGATCAACAACGTTCGCGAATATGGCTTCTTTCTCACGCTCATTTGCATGGCGGGCGGGCTGAACAGAGACATCGAAGACCTGGAGTTATCGGTAAGATCACGGCCTTGTACGCGGTGGCCTCGTTAGCCAAGAACCAATCGTTGCCAAACGTTGAAAATGGATGGCGGGCCGCAAATGGCCCCCTGGGCCGTCGTTCGGACAACACCGGTTTAGAAACCCGAGCGACAGCCAAACACATTTGGGCTGCGTTATCCTACTCAAAATGGCATCAAGATGCATTTGAGAGAATTCGGGGAGGGCCTCCTGTCAATCGGCGAAATGAGTGCGGCCTCCTCAGTCGATCGTGGAAACATTTTCAAATGCCGATCCGTCGTCACCGCTCCGTTTTCGGTGTCCTCGCTTCACATTTGTCTTCTTAACTGAAAACTGATTTCTTTTTCAATCCCAGGCTCTTTGTCACATTAAAGAAATTCCCTCAGCTGGCAGCCACGACGATCCTTTGTCCTACTACCAGATTGGGGACTTCATCAGAGGTGACAAAAATCTTCATTCTGTTGATTTGAACGCCAATTTTGGAAAATGGTGGACAGAGCATTCGTGTTTCATTCGAGCAATAACGCCGTCCATGATGCGAGGGCTCCAAAGGTAAACGTGGCCACTGCCGTTCCTCACCCGTTGCACGTCGACGATATGATTTGGGGAGACGCTGGGCTAGCTGACAGCCCCCAAATACCACCGCTGCGATGGTCGCTGCAATGCCGTGCTCATCTGTCACTCGTCTTCCAGTCAACTGTTTGCAAAAGAAGATTTTGCGTCCGTCATCCGGAAGAAGCAGTCGGTATCCTGGGCCTTGAAATGGTAAAAGTTGGGGCGCTTTTGACTTGGTTGTGTTTTTTCGCAAGACATAAATGACACATCAACCCCCCCACCCCCGCAGTGTTAAGGCTGGTGTGGGCCACTTCAAGCAGGGTCGCCATGTGGAAGCCATGAATGAGTACAACAAAGCTTTGGACATCGACACCAATAACGTGGAAGCGCTGGTCGCGCGCGGCGCTCTGTGAGTTGCGCGGGGGCAAAATACATTTGACACTGGAAAGATTGTTATTGTTGATCATGACTTGATTGGATTGGTTTCCATCCTCAGGTATGCAAATAAAGGCGTGATCCTGAAGGCGATATCGGACTTCGAATTGGCCCTGGAGACGTGCCCGGATCACCGCAATGCCAAGAAGTACCTCTGCCAAACACTGGTTGAGAGAGGAAAACAGTAAGTTGCGCATTTGGGGCTCCTCCACGAAATACGAAACGCATTTGTGTGACGAGCGTGGCCTCCTCTTTTCCATTTTCTAAAATGTTCTTACTCTCGCCTCCGAGTTTAGCCCACTGATGCTCATCTGCTTTTGAGTTGCAAGGTGGTGTAGTCAACTTAGGGGGGAAAAAAATCCTATTTTGAAAATGTTTTTTTTTGATCAAATGCTACAATTTCAAATGCACAGAACAGCCACTCCATATCTCCAGTCCTGTCAGAGCACAATGCATCCGTACGTACGTCCTCGACGCCAAGATCGTTTGGTCGTAGCACAAAAAAACGGCAAATAGGCGCGTTTTTCCAGAGATGGCTGAGGATCGCTTTAAAACGATTTTCGTATGGGCGAATGAGCACGAAGGGACTCTTTTCTCAAATTGGCGCCACTCAAACCTCCCTTGACGCGACTCGTTTCTCCCGCGTAGACTCGAGGAACAAGAGAAGCTCGTGACAGCGGAAGGAGTGTACAGACGAGCGCTTTCTCTGGATGACGCAAACCCCGAAGCTCAGGAGGCCTTGAGAAAAATCACCGAGACCATACAGGTGGGTGGGCCACAACACGCGAGCACTTTCCGGCGTGTGTGCAGCCACGCTCGCTCGATCGCTAAGTCGTCTCGGCCTGTATCGCGCATGCTGAAGGGGGCTGACTTCCCGAGCCACGGTTTGAATGACAAAAAAAATGAAAATCTGATCAAGATGGCAAGGAAGCAATCGCAATACACGTTCGTTGTTAGCGCTCTTGCCAGGTTGTGGTTTTTTTTTTGTCTTTGTTTTTTTTTAACAACAAAGTGCCTCAATGTCAAAGCAAAAATGTTCAGGTCAAACAAATGTGAGCGGTTCAAAAACAAAAAACCAAAAACATTTTATTCTTGCTGTAAGAATATTATCATGTGACTCTTCTGGTGGATTTATTTCTGCCAAGTGGCCTCTGCTCACGCCGACCATTTTGGCAGAACTGACACAGGAGCATTTTGTCATCCGGGAGCATTCACGTGGTCGCTTGTTTGTTTGTTTGTTTGTTTGTTTTTTTCCCCCAGCAGATGTTTTTCCTCTTAGGAGGTTCATTTCGTCCGTGTGGTTTGTAATACTGATGAGATTTTTTTTTGTTTTGTTTGCGTGTGTGTGTGTGCGCATCTGTTTGCGGCCCTGGCACTTGCCCTTCTGACTGACACGGCCTTTGTCACGCGGGGGGGAATTGACTGTGGAAAATGACGACTCCTCCGCTGCGTACCGTTCCAACCCTGGCCCGTGATCCACCAACGGTAACCTTGTCACCTTTCTGTCTCTGCTCACAACTGCTCAAAACTCGGTCTGACAATCTGCCTCCCCCCCATTTCTTGGATGCCGCCACTTTTTCAATGGTCAACACATCACTGTAACTCCGCCCTGTAAACACGATTCACCTTTTGTTTACGTCGCGCCGTACTTTACTCGTCCTCCGCGAAACGACCGCCTTCCATCTACGGCTTCGCTGTCCCGTGTGATGCGCTGGCGCTGATTTTAAATTTCTCACCGTTGACCGTGCCTTGAATTGTCTCGCCCGGCGTGCGTAAAGAATTCCATTCGCCTGCGGGAAGAAGCGCTGGCGAAGGAAGGGGAAGAGAAAGCCAAAAGCAGTCAGAGCAGCGCTGAGAAATTGCGTAAGCTCTTAAAAGAGGAGAAGAGGTGAGTTATTTCCG